CCACCCCCACTTTTCTTTTGATAATTGTAAAGTTTTAAAACAAATTCTAGGTCTTTTAGCCTGCCATATATACCTTGATATTATTCTGTCCCACTCGTTAAATTGTTTTTGGTTAATCTCTATTGGTAAGGTCTGGAACAAATAAAGTAGTCTTGGCAGTATGTTCATTTTGATGGATTCAATTCTTGAGCTGAGACTAAAGAAAGGGATTAGGTTCCATCTAGCTATGTCCTCCTTAATCTTTTTGTTTAAAGGTGAGTAATTGTATTCTGATAGTTCTGAAAGATCCTTTGGTATTATAACGCCTAAATATTTGAAATGCTCTGTGTGCCATGCCAAAGGGTATCTATTTCTAATTTCACCTGGTGGGCTGTAGTTGTAAGTAAGCAATTGTGTTTTAGCAATATTGACCTTGTATCCTGACAGTCGACCATATTGTTCAAGTGATTGCATCAATTTAGGGAGAGAGTTTGTTGGTTGAGCCAAAAAACGCGTAGCAAGCCAGCTTGTGTTCCCGCCCGTGATTAGTAATTCCCCTAATCTCTTAATTTTGTCGTATTGAGCCAATGGTTCCAAGTATAGTGCGAAGAGTAGCGGTGACCATGCACAACCTTGTCTCGAGCCTCTCTCGAAGGTAATGCTATGGGAAATCCTTTTTCAATTGTCTTCTTTATCTTAGCAGCATGGGCTGTAGTTTATGCTAACAGAATAAATATGTACTTTATTCACAACGCATCTTACCGGAGTATGTGCTGAATGATCATTTCCAAATAGAAAGGCAAAATGGCAGTAATACACCTTTTTGAGACTTAAAGGTGGGGTATGTCATTTATTTCAGAAACACTTGTTATATTCCATGGAATGCTCTTAACATCCCAATAGCAATGAATATCTTAAGTGCTTTGACAATAAATCCATAAAAAAATGTCATCTGTGGAAGCCGTAGTACTGTAAAAAGCACGACCAATCATTTTAGCCGGCCCGGGTAAAATAACTGGATGGCCTACCTGCCTGTCAGCCTTCCATCTGTGCACAAACTTATCTCGTGCCCTCATTGGTCATGTGCGCGTTCGTGTGTGTTGGAGGAGGGGCTCTGTAAGGAAGTGGCAGATTTGTTCCGGCTGTGTATTTTCAAATTCTAGCGCACTCGAGCTGGTTTCTCCAAAATTACCTACCCCACCTTTAACTGTTCTATAAATATGAATAACGTGTTCTTGTATTGCCTAAGTACTGCATTCCGACTGCACATATACTGTAAATTGAGTACACTATAGTATTTTCTCAGTAGAAGTATCTTCAGTTATTCGTAATGACATTTCTGTAAACAGGCAGGATCACTGTCCAGACTGAGTGAGCGCTAGAAATATAAGATGTTTTCTAGAGTGTCTTTGACTTAACAAGATACTTCTAAAAACAAGACCCTATATCTCACTGCATTGTTACTTCTTAAGTTATTAGATCTTATATCAAGTATAAAGAAGACATATCTTTCTGACTAGTATTAGACAAATATGCTTGGCCAGATATAGAGTTGTTGTAGCGTGCGCCTCACTCTCTCTCCCTGGGTCAGGTACGCTTTGCTGATCGTGGACAGCGCCACCGCTCTGTACAGGACGGACTACTCGGGCAGAGGAGAGCTGTCTGCGCGGCAGGGACACCTGGGACGCTTCCTGCGCATGCTGCTGCGCCTGGCCGACGAGGTGAGCAGCTGGCCTGGCTCTGTGGGGATATCAAGCGCTCCTCATGTGTTAGTGATGAGCGAGAACCCAAATATCCTGCGTACCTCTCCATAGCTTCAGTTCCTCCCTCACCGTCACCATGTTGCACCACAGCTACTTTACACCATTAATTCATTTATATACTATCTTATGTATATATGCAGTGGTGTAAAGTAACTAAGTAGATTTACTCGAGTACTGTACTTAAGTACAATTTTGAGGTACTTGTACTTTTACTTGAGTTTTTCCATTTTATGCTACTCTGTACTTCTACTCTAAAACAATTCAGAGGTAAACCGTGTACTTTTACTCCACTACATTCAATTCAATTCAACACTACATGTATTTGATACCTTTAGCACTTTAGCTCATCTGCACATTGACTACTTTTACTTGAGGTGCTTTAAGTATATTTTGATGCAAATACTTATGTACTTTTACTTGAGTAACATTTATACTCTTTACCACCTTTTTAATTATTTGAATGCCTTGTATTAAATGCTGCTGTAACAAAATAAGTGTTATAAATAATTTCTATATAATGAACTGAATCAACACTTTCAGGTGTGCTGTGCATCTTAACCCCGAGGTGTCTGTAACGTGAGTGCGTTTGTCTCCAATGTCTCCACAGTTTGGGGTTGCCGTGGTGATATCCAACCAGGTGGTGGCGCAGGTGGATGGAGCGGCCATGTTTTCCGCAGATCCAAAGAAACCAATCGGAGGCAACATTATGGCTCACGCCTCCACCACACGGTGAGTGATGATGGGTGGATGTTTCTACAGTAGAGCTTGATATACACTAACACACAGAGGCTGCAGCTGATGACATCACAGTTCATGGTTAGGGGACTCGATGACATCACAGTTCATGGTTAGGGGACTCGATGACATCACAGTTCATGGTTAGAGGACTGATCTTAACCGTGCTCTTGTGTTTGCAGTCTGTACCTGAGGAAAGGCCGAGGAGAGACGCGGATCTGTAAAATCTACGACTCGCCCTGCCTGCCCGAGTCTGAGGCCATGTTCGCCATCAACCCTGATGGAGTGGGTGATGCTAAGGACTGAGGTGGGGGGGGGCAGGAAGCAGCGGGTGGTAATGAGTTACTGTCACCCCTGCTGACTCATTCTGGACTAAAGTGTTCTGCACCAAGCCACCGCCTCCACTCAGCCTCAGCTGACGGAGGGCTTAGGATTTGATACTGATGGAGAAGGTGGTGCACACCCTGACCCTCGGCAGGGCAGAGGTGCAACAGCAAGATGTTGAAGCACATTTCCCCCGACATGGGGAACAAGGAGGTTTTCTTTCAATATGACCGAGTATCTCCTAGCTACAAGCTGGATTGTTCTGTTAAGAGAAACAGCCTTATGATTTCATAATGATGATAGTATCTCCATCATTCCAGACAAATCTATCTCATCAATTGTCTTAGTTCCCCAAATAAAAATCCCAATTTGCCCAGTGTCCGTTGAGCAAATATTAGATCTTGACGTAGTAAAGCACGAGATATTAAGTCATTATTAGAAATACGGTCTCCATTTTTTTCCTGTGTTGAATGAACCTCTGTAGTTTCTCTTTGGATGGTCAAAAAATATTTCTAATAGTTTGAGATTTTCTTTGCTAGTTTTGTCTCCCTGGTGTTTCTTATGTCTTGTTTGTGATGTGTGACCACATTTCTATAACGCTATACTTTGTTATTTCTCTATTTTCACCTTTGTCAGCTACACTAAAGGTTTGTCTCTTTTCTGTCTTTACCAGCGCCTTCTGTAAATATAACTTGAAGCTAAATTAAAAATAGTTTTACCATTAAAGTGACTGGCTATTTTTCATCATGGAAGTTCATTGTTGGTCCTATGGAGGATTACTAGGAAGGGCTTAATTGATAAAAAATACAATTTTAGAAGATATGAATACCAAAACATTTTATTTAGTTTTATCTGTGTATTTAGTGCATATTCACTTTTTTGTTACGGGATCAGAATATTAAAGGTAGGGTAGGTAAGTTTGAGAAACCGGCTCGAGATACACTTTTTGTTATATTCCATGGAATGCTCTTAACATCCCGATAGCAATGAATATCTGAAGTGCTTTGACAAAAAATCCATAAATAAATATCATCTGTGGAAGCCGTAGTACTGTAAAAAGCACGACCAATCATTTTAGCCGGCCCGGCTAAAATAACTGGATGGCCTACCTGCCTGTCAGCCTTCCATATGTGCACAAACTTATCTCGTGCCCTCATTGGTCATGTGCGCTTTCGTGTGTGTTGGAGGAGGGGCTCTGTAAGGAAGTGGGAGATTTTCTCCAGTTGTGTATTTTCAAATTCTAGTGATCTCGAGCCGGTTTCTCAAACTTACCTACCCCACCTTTAAGGAAATATAACATCAATTTTTTTCACAGCAGCAATTGCAAAATGAACCTCAACAAAAATAAATAAATTGAAAACAAAGTGCCATTTAAAATAATGTTACATCAGAAAGTAATAAACCTGCCAACATACTGCAGCTTCACTTCAACTTCAGAAAGGAATAAAACAAACACGCAGAGATCAAAGGCAGCAAATCAACTCAAAGGAAAATTGAAGGTACAAAAATATTGGAATACTTTTCATTCACAACCAAACAGAACACTCCATGCACTTTTTCACAAGTGGCTGTATTCGGTCCAATACAGTTTCTTATACTACCTTTTTATTTACTAAATCAAAAACAAAAGTTTAAGACTGATACTCTTATCAAAACACTACGTGTGTTACTATAGCTACAAGTAATTAAGTGACCGTCATCTCCACAAAACAAGCATCTGTCAACCTAGCAGAACAATGATAGGAAAAAAAGTGTACACTATTCTCTTTAAATATCTTAATCTATGAAGGCAAAATAATTGGATGTATTCATTATTTTGGTTACCAAAGTCCCTTCCCCTTAAAGCTCTAAAACGTCCCTGATCAAAGTGCTCCAGCAGCTGCTTCCAGATAGCTGTACCACATGTATCAGTCAGTGAGGGGGCACGTCTCCACATGTGTTCCACTGAGGGGGGAGGGGGGGGTCATAATAAAAATGACAACAAATTAAAAAGAATTTCCCTCTAGAGGTATTTAGATTTGTTCTCTGAGATGCTCTACCAATAAAACATGTTTCTTGTAATGTGGAGTACTGATCCTTCCATTATGAATGTGATGCTAAAAAACAAAACCTACTTGTGTTTAATCACTGATTATCAGTTAAAAAGGCAAACAAATGGTTAAAAAAACATTAAAGATACCATAAACATTACAATATATATATATTATGTATGGTGATTTTTATTAAATTAAGCCATATTAAAGAAAATAAATATGCATTAATAAACTCCATTTAATTTCACAGTGACAGTGTGACAAAGATATCCACCAAAGAAGAGAAAGAAACTTCTGCCATTAGTGCGGCACATCTGATTGGATGAGCACTGATTGGCGGCCTGACTAGCCAATCAGTGCCATCAGCTGGGTGGCTCCGCCCGTTGGATCTCTTTAGAAATGTTGTTTTTCAGATTTTAGTGTCCGTTAAGAGTTGAAGCTCAGCCTCCAGTTTAGACGTTTCATCCTTAAAAAAGGAAAAAGAAACAACGATAATCATAGAAGCTCAATGACACATCGGAGGAATGCTTCTGGAGGTCATCTGCAGCACTGTGTACACAACTCCCAATAATCAAAGATGAAACAGAAATATTGAAATGCAGTTAGGTGAATGTTATGGAGTTAAAAGCTCTTACATCATTAGAGTTTGTCGTCATCTTCAGAGCCAGCTGGGTCCAGTTCATGGCCTCAGAGATGTTCCCCAGCTCCTTGTGACACTGCCAGAGCAACGACATGAAGGTTAGTGCACAGAGAGAAGAGGAATGTGATGGGATGTGAGCCCAAACTATTCATCAGAAAGTCACATTCACAACATATTAAAACCCTCTCCTGTTTCGGCTCAGTTCTCACTATTTGACTATTTGATGATGAGTGTTTATGGGACATGTCCCTCACGATGGGAAATAAGGGACACAAACAGGAAATTGAGGTCAGTGATTTAAGTGTGGGCTTCACCCGTGGATGTATAAAGACGAGTGGATACAGCGAGGTGAAGCCCCTTTCATCCCTATCAAAGTTGCTCAGTGGGGCATGAAGCCAAAATGTAAAAGTACCGTATCGGGCCCGTAGAGATCGGCGCACGCTCTTAGGGCGTTTTGTAACTTTAGGAATGTTGTGGTGTTGAGCCTGCTTTTAAAAAAAACCATGATGAGTGTATTTGTCCCAATGACGTCACGTACTGACACTGAAGCCGCAGAGCCACCATTTTGCTCACTTCCTGGGGACTTGGCTTCACCTTGCCCTGTCTTTTTCCCTATTTGTAAACGCTGATAAATGTAAGATGGAAAGTAGTGCCAACCCTAACTGAAAGCTGTTTCTGTTCACACTGTAACCATGGATACAAACAATAATAACGTAGCATGTGTTTGCTACTGGTTTAATGTCTAAATCTCATGATTATGAGACAACATCTGAAGTTTTTCTGACTTCTTAGTGGATTTATGAACATTGGAGAATGCAGTGTACCTGAAGGGGAAGTGGTGCTGATGCCAGCAGTGTGTGTGATGTGTGTGGTGTGTGTGATGTGTGTGAACTGACTGACTGATGACTGATTGTGTCAGTCTTGTTGAAATTGTCATTCCACCATGGTTCAAATCAAAGAAAACTAAAAAAGGCTCTATGTAGCTGCACTCTTTGCAATGCATAAAGTCATCAATATCCTATAGTATTACAATAACAGACTGGGCTGAGTGTGTGATGATTACCTTTGCGATGTAGAGTCTGACGGTCTTGGAGAAACCCGGACTGAGCTCCTCTGCCTGAAGTACACAAGACCAAGATTTACTTTATCAAACACTGACTCAATGTGGAAAATGTCAAGAAAATGAAAACCAAAGCGGCCAGTTATTTTTCTAAAAGCATTGTGGGTAAGGGGCTCAGAGGTTATTGAGTGTTTTATTGCAGACATTGTTGTGGGTTAGAGCAGTGGTTCCCAAACGGTGTGCCGTGAGGCAAGTCCGGGTGTGCCGTGGGATTTTGTGACAACCATACGTTATTATTGCAATATACAACTACACAAAAATAATTATTTTTTAATTTACTATATCAGTACTTTGTATGCACTCATTTCATAATACAGAGGCGGAGAGGTGGTGCGCCAGGCTGGCTTACCTCGCAGACATATTTGGGCATCTCAACGAGTTAAACGCCAAGCTTCTGGGCAGGAATGAAAACATTTTATCATCCACAGACAAGATTCGGGGGTTTATGGGCAAACTTATCCTGTGGCGCGAGGCTTTGGAACAGGGCTCCATGGACATGTTCATGCATCAGCTGCGCCGCAGGCAGCTAGGGAGCGCGCTGTATATGCCAAACACCTTCAGACCTTAAAAGAGAGGTTTGACCGCTATTTTCCACGTGTGGCTGACATCGAGGACTATGACTGGATCCGAGACCCATTCCACCAGGAATTCCCAACAGAAAAGCTCACTATGAAAGAGAGAGAGGAGTGCGCAGAGCTCCGTGTGGACCGCACACTGAAACTCAAATTTAGTGAGCTCCCACTGGATCAGTTTTGGTTGGCTTCTGCATCGGAGTACCCAAGCATCTCCCACCACGCGATTGAGCAACTTCTTCTTTTTCCCACTACCTACCTGTGTGAGTTGGCGTTCTCTACTCTGGTTTACATGAAGAACAACAGGAGGTCACGGCTCTCTGTTGAACAGGACTTGCGAGTGGCCCTCTCCTCAGTGCCACCAAGGATTAAAAAAATCTGCGCGCCCCAACAGGCACATGTATCTCACTAATTTGTAAGTCGGCAAAAATATTTACAATAGCACATGTTTCAATGCTGATTGCTGAAATGTTACATTTATAATTTGTAGTTCAGGCCCATGGACAGTGCAGCTTCCTTGCATTGACAGTTCTCTGTGCTGAATTTCTGCTGAGTCTTTGCCTCATTTTTTATTGTGTGACCTGTCTGGTTTAAATGAGTGTGTTGCTGCTTTGATGAAGCCTAATTTCATAAAGTTTCAAATTAACTTCTGAAATATTTCGTTAATAAATATTTCATGAGTAATATAGTTGTCTTTGTCACATTTTATTTGGCATTAGTAAATAATTATGCACATTTACAGATATTTTACATGATATGAGTGATAACACGTGTTATAAGGGCTATTTTGCACAATAGGTGTGCCTTGAGATTTGTACTTGTCCTTTGGTGTGCCTTGGGCACAAAAAGTTTGGGAACCACTGGGTTAGAGGATTTACAAGAGTGCTGAGGAGCAGAGGGTCTGTTCTGCCAGTGGCTTCACACCGCAGGACAACATACACAATGATATCTGGAGAAAACTAAATGAGGGGGAGGAAACCTCTCTGCAGAACTCTGGTACCTTCAGGAAGTTCTCAAGCGCGTCATGCAGTGTGGAGGTGGGGGGGGTCTGGTAGAGGGCAGCGGCCGCTTTTTTCTCCAGCCAGTCCAGAGTGGTTACCTGCACACACACACAGACACACACACATACACACACACAGCTGTCATAAAAACCATCATATTCCCTTAAGCATGTGTTGGCCATTCAGAACTGGGTTGTGGTGGAATCGTCTTAGGAAGGTTCCATATGGAGTGAAATGACCTGGAAGTACTTCAGTGAAAATGCTGTCTCACAATGGCTGTAACATTTATCGTGACACAACATTCGCTGCTCACAGAAACAACCGCTTGTGACCGAGACACATGTATCACAGTGTTGAATGTTCTGGTGATGTTCTGGTGAATAACTGGATCTAACCAGTTAACAATAACAGCCCCCCCCCCCTCACCTCATAGCACCATCTGCCCAGCAGGTAGAAACACATGGGGTCATCATCTCGGAGCGCGAGGGCACGGTCCAGATGCTCCTGAGGGGAAAACAAACGTCATTAAAGCAAACTGTATCTGAAACATACAATGAGCTTAAGACTCAAATGGGGTGTGTGGTATGTGTATGTGTATGTGTATGTGTGTGTGTGTGTGTGTGTGTGTATGCGTGTGTGTGTGTGTGTGTGTGTGCGTGTGTGCGTGTGTGTGTGTGTGTGTGACCTTTAATATGTGGCTGCTCTTCAGTTTGCTGTGCATGCTCTCATGCTGCGAGGAGAGTCCTGTCAGCACTGCAAACCTGGAGCCAAAAACACAATGATCAGAATCAGTTTTTACCAAGTAGGTTTACACTTAGGAGGAATTTTATATTACAATTATAAAAGCTATTTAAAAAAAATTGTCCTCGTGCAATTCATGCTTTATTTCTTCTTTCATTTATTTTTCAATCTGTAAACAGTACCAGCTACTTCTATATTTTGATATGGTCATTTCTTTTGAAACTATACTGCTACTAAGTTACTTTTTACTTATTGTGTTTTTAATAACGTGTGCCTTCTTTTTATATAATATGTACAACAACTCTTGCTTTTGTAATACCGTCATTTCCCAGTTGCGGGACAATTAAAGAATTCTGATACCGGTTAAGACTTTTGTAACAAATTAAGACAAAGACAATATTTACACGATGTGACATCAAAGTACAGCAGCCGGCAGTGGCAGCAATATCCAGAATATATATATATATATATATATAAATGCAAGTTCTTACCGTTTGTGGCACTCAGCATTCAGGCCGTTCTTCTTCAGGGCTGACTCCGCCTCCTCTCGACCTGAAACAGCAGCTCACAGCTCAGGGACAAAAACCCCCACCCAAGAAAAGGTGGAGACATTCACATTTTCTGCACGTTTGCACACATTGCAGTCAGTCTAGTTCTCTTTTTGCTAGGGCCTATTTGCCTTTGAACATGTTATTATATTCTTAAAATTGGATTTTGTAAAAATATAAACAAGCAACATATTTTAATGGATGCTTTATTTGACTGGTTCTTTGTTTCTTTGTTTTAATGTATTCAATACTCTTAGTCATGATAAGAGTAATATGATTATATCAGGGTGTGTGTGTGTGTGTGTTACCTTGGTGTGCGTAGGTCTTCTTCTCTTGTTTGTCCTCAGTTGACTCGTACATATCACTGTAGGCCCGAGCCAGTCCGCCATAGAAACTCCCTGCTATCTCCATACTGCACACACGGAGGGAGAGAAAGAGCAGTGTTTTGGGATCGCTAAGTGGTCCAATTGTAATTCATAAATCGATTCCTCTGAATCACAGTTCTAAGTTATTGTGGGGCTTTCTTATAATCACTACTTTCATATGCTTGTGTACAAAGTCGTTTTATGGAAGTACATTTGTGTCAATATTATTTGTGTGAACAGACTGACAATCCATGTGTAAATGTGTTATACCTTCATCTCAGGCAATAAAAGGTTTGTAAATTTAAAAAAATATGTTTTTCTCATTTAAAACGGATCTGCAAATATACAACAAATACGTTAAAAGCTGAAGTAATATCACATCTACTGTAGCTTGGGAAAATAGCGATGTGGGTTGTTTATCAGTCAGTGCAGCGTCAGAGCGTCATAGCGTCAGAGCGTCATCGAGTCAGAGCATCGGAGCGTCAGATCGTCAGAGCGTCAGAGCGTCGGAGCGTCAGAACGTCAGAGAGTCAGAGCGTCGGATCGTCGGAGAGTCGGCAGATAGTCAGAGCGTCCGGAGCGTCAGATTGGCGTCAGATCGTCAGAGCGTCATATAGTCAGGAGCGTCGGAGGCGTCAGAGAGTGCAGAGAGTCAGAGAGCGTCATAGAGTCAGAGGCGTTGCAGAAGAGTCAGAGCGTCATAGAGTCAGAGAGTCAGAGCGTCAGAGAGTCAGAGCGTCGGAGAGTCAGAGCGTCAGAGAGTCAGAGCGTCAGAGAGTCAGAGAGTCAGAGCGTCATAGAGTCAGAGCGTCAGAGAGTCAGAGCGTCATAGAGTCAGAGCGTCATAGAGTCAGAGCGTCATAGAGTCAGAGAGTCAGAGCGTCATAAAGAGTCAGAGAGTCAGAGCGTCATAGAGTGCCAGATGAGTCAGAGCGTCAGAAGAGGTCAGAGCGTCAATAGAGTCAGAGAGTCAGAGCGTCATAGAGTCAGAGAGTCAGAGCGTCAGAGAGTCAGAGCGTCATAGAGTCAGAGCGTCATAGAGTCAGAGCGTCATAGAGTCAGAGAGTCATAGAGTCATAGAGTCATAGAGTCAGAGCGTCATAGAGTCAGAGCGTCATAGAGTCAGAGCGTCATAGAGTCAGAGCGTCAGAGAGTCAGAGAGTCAGAGCGTCAGAGAGTCAGAGCGTCAGAGCGTCAGAGAGTCGGAGCGTCAGAGCGTCAGAGAGTCAGAGCGTCGGAGCGTCATAGAGTCGGAGCGTCAGAGAGTCAGAGCGTCAGAGGAGTCAGAGCGTCGGAGAGTCAGAGTAGTCGGAGCGTCAGAGAGTCGGAGCGTCCATAGAGTCCAGAGCGTCATAGAGTCAGAGCGTCATAGAGGTCAGAGCGTCATAGAGTCAGAGCGTCAGAGCGTCATAGAGTCAGAGCGTCAGAGCGTCATAGAGTCAGAGCGTCATAGAGTCAGAGTCAGAGAGTCAGAGCGTCATAGCGTCAGAGCGTCATAGAGTCAGAGCGTCATAGAGTCAGAGCGTCAGAGCGTCATAGAGTCAAGCGTCATAGAGGTCAGAGATCAGAGAGTCAGAGCGTCAGAGCGTCATAGAGTCAGAGCGGCAGAGCGTCAGAGAGTCAGAGCGTCAGAGCGTCAGAGAGTCAGAGCGTCAGAGAGTCAGAGAGTCAGAGCGTCATAGAGTCAGAGCGTCATAGAGTCAGAGCGTCAGAGCGTCATAGAGTCAGAGCGTCAGAGAGTCAGAGCGTCAGAGAGTCAGAGCGTCATAGAGTCAGAGCGTCCAGAGCTCATAGAGTCAGAGCGTCAGAGCGTCAGAGAGTCAGAGCGTCAGAGCGTCATAGAGTCAGAGCGTCAGAGGTCAGAGCGTCAGAGCCGTCAGAGCGTCAGAGAGTCAGAGCGTCAGAGCGTCAGAGAGTCAGAGAGTCCAGAGAGTCCAGAGAGTCAGAGAGTCAGAGCGTCAGAGAGTCAGAGAGTCAGAGTGTCATAGTCAGAGAGTCAGAGAGTCATAGTCAGAGAGTCAGAGCGTCATAGCGTCAGAGCGTCAGAGAGTCATAGAGTCAGAGCGTCAGAGAGTCAGAGAGTCAGAGCGTCATAGCGTCAGAGCGTCAGAGAGTCAGAGCGTCAGAGAGTCATAGAGTCAGAGAGTCAGAGCGTCATAGCGTCAGAGCGTCAGAGAGTCAGAGAGTCAGAGCGTCATAGAGTCAGAGCGTCAGAGCGTCATAGAGTCAGAGCGTCAGAACGTCAGAGCGTCATAGCGTCAGAGCGTCATAGAGTCAGAGCGTCATAGAGTCAGAGAGTCAGAGCGTCATAGAGTCAGAGCGTCAGAGAGTCAGAGCGTCATAGAGTCAGAGCGTCAGAGAGTCAGAGCGTCAGAGAGTCAGAGCGTCAGAGCGTCAGAGAGTCGGAGCGTCAGAGAGTCAGAGCGTCAGAGAGTCAGAGCGTCAGAGAGTCAGGAGCGTCAGAGCGTTCAGAGAGTCAGAGAGTCAGAGCGTCAGAGAGTCAGAGCGTCAGAGAGTCAGAGAGTCATAGAGTCAGAGAGTCAGAGCGTCATAGAGTCAGAGAGTCAGAGAGTCATAGTCAGAGAGTCAGAGCGTCATAGCGTCAGAGCGTCAGAGAGTCAGAGACAGAGCGTCAGAGTAGTCAGAGAGTCAGGCGTCCCATAGCGTCAGAGCGTCATAGAGTCAGAGCGTCATAGAGTCAGAGCGTCAGAGCGTCATAGAGTCAGAGCGTCAGAGAGTCAGAGCGTCATAGAGTCATAGAGTCAGAGAGTCAGAGCGTCAGAGCGTCATAGAGTCAGAGAGTCAGAGCGTCATAGAGTCAGAGAGTCAGAGCGTCAGAGAGTCAGAGCGTCATAGAGTCAGAGCGTCATAGAGTCAGAGCGTCATAGAGTCAGAGCGTCATAGAGTCAGAGCGTCAGAGCGTCATAGAGTCATAGAGTCAGAGAGTCAGAGCGTCAGAGCGTCATAGAGTCAGAGAGTCAGAGCGTCATAGAGTCATAGAGTCATAGAGTCAGAGAGTCAGAGCGTCATAGAGTCATAGAGTCAGAGCGTCAGAGCGTCATAGAGTCAGAGCGTCATAGAGTCAGAGCGTCATAGAGTCAGAGAGTCAGAGCGTCATAGAGTCAGAGCGTCATAGAGTCAGAGCGTCATAGAGTCAGAGCGTCATAGAGTCAGAGCGTCATAGAGTCAGAGCGTCAGAGCGTCATAGAGTCAGAGCGTCATAGAGTCAGAGAGTCAGAGCGTCATAGAGTCAGAGCGTCATAGAGTCAGAGCGTCATAGAGTCAGAGCGTCATAGAGTCAGAGAGTCATAGAGTCAGAGCGTCATAGAGTCAGAGCGTCAGAGCGTCATAGAGTCAGAGCGTCATAGAGTCAGAGCGTCATAGAGTCAGAGCGTCATAGAGTCAGAGCGTCATAGAGTCAGAGCGTCGGAGCGTCATAGCGTCGGAGAGTCAGAGCGTCAGAGAGTCAGAGCGTCGGAGCGTCATAGAGTCAGAGCGTCAGAGCGTCATAGAGTCAGAGCGTCATAGAGTCATAGAGTCAGAGAGTCAGAGCGTCATAGAGTCAGAGCGTCAGAGCGTCATAGAGTCATAGAGTCAGAGAGTCAGAGCGTCATAGAGTCAGAGCGTCATAGAGTCAGAGAGTCGGAGAGTCAGAGCGTCGGAGAGTCAGAGCGTCGGAGCGTCATGAGAGTCAGGAGCGTCATAGAGTCGGAGCGTCAGAGAGTCGGAGCGTCAGAGAGTCAGAGCGTCAGAGAGTCGGAGCGTCAGAGAGTCGGAGCGTCAGAGAGTCGGAGCGATCAGAGAGTCAGAGCGTCAGAGAGGTCAGAGCATCATAGAGTCGAGCGTCAGAGCGTCATAGAGTCAGAGAGTCAGAGCGTCAGAGCGTCATAGAGTCAGAGCGTCATAGAGTCAGAGCGTCATAGAGTCAGAGCGTCAGAGCGTCATAGAGTCAGAGCGTCAGAGAGTCATAGAGTCAGAGCGTCAGAGCGTCATAGAGTCAGAGCGTCAGAGCGTCAGAGAGTCAGAGCGTCAGAGAGTCAGAGCGTCATAGAGTCAGAGCGTCAGAGAGTCAGAGAGTCAGAGCGTCAGAGAGTCAGAGCGTCAGAGAGTCGGAGCGTCAGAGCGTCGGAGCGTCAGAGCGTCGGAGCGTCATAAGAGTCGTAGCGTCATAGAGTCAGAGCGTCAGAACGTCGGAGCGTCATAGAGTCAGAGCGTCATAGAGTCAGAGCGTCATAGTGTCAGAGAGTCAGTGCGTCAGAGCGTCACAGAGTCAGAGCGTCAGAACGTCGGAGCGTCATAGAGTCAGAGCGTCAGAACGTCAGAGCGTCATAGAGTCAGAGCGTCAGAGCGGCGGCATTGAGTCGGAGCGTCGGAGCGTCATAGAGTCGGAGCGTCATAGCGTCAGAGAGTCAGAGCGTCAGAGAGTCAGAGCGTCAGAACGTCAGAACATCAGAGCGTCATAGAGTCAGAGCGTCAGAACGTCAGAGCGTCAGAGAGTCATAACGTCAGAGCGTCATAGAGTCAGAGCGTCAGAGCGTCATAGAGTCAGAACATCAGAGCGTCATAGTCAGAGCGTCAGAGCGTCATAGAGTCAGAACGTCAGAGCGTCATAGAGTCAGAGCGTCAGAGAGTCAGAGAGTCATAGAGTCAGAGCGTCATAGAGTCAGAGCGTCATAGAGTCGGAACGTCAGAGCGTCATAGAGTCGGGAGCGTCAGATCGTCATAGAGTCGGAGCGTTGGAGCGTCATAGAGTCGGAGCGTCAGAGAGTCAGAGCGTCAGAGCGTCAGAACATCAGAGCGTCATAGAGTCAGAGCGTCAGAACGTCAGAGCGTCATAGAATCAGAGCGTCAGAGAGTCAGAGCGTCATAGAGTCAGAGCGTCAGAGCGTCGGAGCGTCGGAGCGTCATAGAGTCAGAACGTCAGAGCGTCATAGAGTCAGAGCGTCATAGAGTCATAGAGTCAGAGCGTCAGAGAGTCATAGAGTCAGAGCGTCATAGAGTCAGAGCGTCAGAGCGTCAGAGAGTCATAGAGTCAGAGCGTCATAGA